CACACACGATGACTAGAATTAGCCTCAGTTAACGATGGTGAGTCAACAGGTGTGCGTGACTCGACAGGTAACCCGACAGGTAGACCAGTGTGTTGACGGACTCCTCCTTGTCTGTTGTATTAAGGTAACTAATCCTCAGGTGGGTGATACGTTAACCCTTTGATGATGGTTTAACCCTTTAAGGATAATGATTTAACCCTTTAATGATGATAATATACCTATTTGAAGACGACGATTTAACCCTTTGATGATGATTTAACCATTTGATTACGATTATTTAACCTTGATGAGGTTCAACAGTCATTAATTCCGGAGTTTTGGAGAAATTAACTAATTCCAATATTATAAATTAATTTATTGAATTAGTTAATTTTACCGCCACACCACCCCGTTAAGTACAGTACTGTGGTGTCCCTCAGGACTCATTTAGTTTAAAACTCGGGTTGAAACACGACGACCCTCTTCAAGGGAAGATGTTTAATAATACGGACGAAACCCTTTGATGGTAATATTATAAATAAACCACAAACGAGAGAGCGAGAGAAAGAAGCAAAGAGAGAGAGAGAGAGAGAGAGAGAGAGAGAGAGAGAGAGAGAGAGAGAGAGAGAGAGAGAGAGAGAGAGAGAGAGAGAGAGAGAGAGAGAGACCTATGTTTTAATACACTATGGAAGCTGCCTTACCCATCATTGCGCGTATTTGTAAAAAAAGAAAAGAATAAAAAAGTGTTTCTTGAGTTCGTAACATCATCCTTATTTCCCACACCTGCTGTTGAGTGTGTGTAAGTATGTATGTGTGTGTACATATGTATTTATCTTCTTTAGATTCACATGGTAGATTGTGTAGGTATTAATCTCTGTATGTGTGTATGTGTGTATGTGTGTGTGTGTGTGTGTGTGTGTGTGTGTGTGTGTGTGGAGTCATTTTACCAGTATGTTGGGTGTGTGTGTGTGTGTGTGTGTGTGTGTGTGTGTGTGTGTGTGTGCTGGCATAGCAGTCACACCACAAGAAAAACTGAACAATAACAAAACCACATCATCAACAACAGGAATACATTTCAAGAAGTGGTCTTGGCAGGTAGGGGAAAGGGCACACGGTGCGACCTGATGCAGGGGGGTGGCGAGGGAGCAGGGGGGCAGGAGGGCAGGGGTTTGGGGGCGCAGAGGGGCATGAGGGGCAGAAGGGGAGGCGAGAGGGGAACAGGAGAGGAAGGCACGGCGAGGGGAGGGGAGGGGGAGCTAAGGATAGGGGCAGAGGAGGACAGCAGGAAGGAAGCAGGGCAAGAGGGCAATGGGAGGATCAGGAGGGGCAGAGGGCAGGGAAGGACAGCAGGGGGGAGCAGCAGGCCAGAGAGGGTGGGGAGGAGAGCAGGGTGGAGCAGGCATGAGAGGGGAGGGGAAGGAGAGCAGGCAAGAGAGGGCGAGGGAGGGGGAGAAATATTTAGGCATGCTAACAAATGGTGTGTCTGAGAAATCTGCTTGGAATTTTTCGGACAGATAATCGTCGTTACCCGCGTTTCTAGTCGGAAGCTGCGTTTACCCACACCAACTGGCCTCTCTCTCTCCTGTGTGTGTGTGTGTGTGTGTGTGTGTGTATGTAAGTGTATGTGTTGTATGTGTGTATGAGTGTATGTATGTGTAAGTATGTGTGTATATGTGTCTGTGTGTGTGTGTGTGTGTGTGTGTGTGTGCGTGTGTGTGTATATGTAAGTGTATGTGTTGTATGTGTGTATGAGTGTATGTATGTGTAAGTATGTGTGTATATATGTCTGTGTGTGTGTGTGTGTGTGTGTGTGTGTGTGTGGTTTGCTTAGAGCCTATTTCAAATATGACGAAGAGACATGTGTCGTTATGTTACATTTTGCCTGTCTTTCAGTGTATCTGTGTCTCTCTGCCCGCCTGTCTTCCTGTCTGCCTGCCTGTCTGCCTGCCTGTCTGTCTGCCTGCCTGTCTGCCTGCCTGTCTGTCTGTCTATCTATCTGTCTGTCTGTATCTATTTACTTGCAGTCAACTTTGAAATAAAATCGTGTAGCGAAATGAATCGTATTGATACACAATTACACATTCATAATCTATCTAACAAAAACACAATAATTAATGAAAACAAATATTACAAAATGTTACACACTAGGCTATACAGACACACACATACACAGAATGGAGTAACACTTGACCAGCCATCACCCCTCCCATCCTTCCTTCGTAACATCACAGGAAAAGAATTCACAATACGACCCCAAACAACACACCATCTATATCCACCACTCGAAAACCCGCCTTACACACACACACACACACACACACACACACACTATGGTAAGTACTGTACATCTCTCCTGAAAGCTGGGTGATGGACGGGTGGGCACTAGACAGACGGAGGTAAACATTGGTGTTGAGGCTTCCTGCAGGGTGGCGTGTTGTCTCCTCTTCTGTTTATTATTCCCTATATATGATGTGACTCTAGTGCTCCACAGTATTACCTCATTATATAGCCAAAGTATCTAATATTTATTGTATGTATGTATGTATGTATGTATGTATGTATGTATGTCCCCCAAGCGTCATACCAACGCGTCATCAACACATTTTCTTCTGCGCTGTATAGAAAACGTAACCTACAATGTTGGAGTTTGCCACGAACGTCACCTCTTCAGTCAATCAGACACACAGGTCCTCCACCTCCCACCAATTAGAGAGACATAGACCTTCCACCTTCTACCAATCAGAGACACAGATCCTCCACCTTCCACCAATCACAGACCCACAGACCCTCCACCTCCCACCAATCAGAGACACACGAACCCTTCACCTTCCACCAATCACAGACACACAGGCCCTTCACATCCACCAATCAGAGAGCCAGGACCGTTGCTTAGGGGTTTGTTTACACCTGGTCGTCTCAATGTTGATTTGAAGTCGGGTATACTTGACGGGTCTGTGTCTCATATTGCCTTATTTATCTCTCTTTTCCTTCCTTATCTTCTTCTTTCTCTATCTATCCTTTTCTTCTCCTTCTCCCTCTTCTCTATCTCTCTCTTTCTTTAACAAATCTATCTCTTTCACATTTCTCTCTCTCCCTTTTGGATCTTTCTCTCTCCTCTTAGATCCCCTTCCATCCCCCCGCCCGCACTCTCTCTCATGACGTCCCATATTATTTAATAGTGTGTTTCAACATCAAAGTCTGTTTTTGTTAAAGAATTTGAGCAGACTAATCACCCACTCTGCATTTACTGATGTGGTTAAGTTAGGTTACCCACCCATCCTTCCACTCGTCCTCCTTCCTTCCCTCTTCTCCCACCCATCCTTCCACTCGTCCTCCTTCCTTCCCTCTTATCCCACCCATCCTTCCACTCGTCCTCCTTCCTTCCCTCTTCTCTCACCCATCCTTCCTTCATCTACCCTCCCTCCACCCCTCTTCCTTCATCTACCCTGCCTCTCCCCTTCCCTCTTCTCACCCTCTCTCCTTCCATCTCTTTCTTCTCCTCCACTCCTCCCTCCTCCCTCCTCTCCCTCCATCCCCCTCCCCCTCCTGGCTGTCACTACCCTCCCTTGTTTACAGCTCTGGGGCTTCTGACCTCTCGTTCTTGGTCTCGACGTCTGCTGCGGCTGGCTCGTTTTTGTAACTCTTGCTGACGTCACAGATACACCTACCAATTTCCCCCTTCGCTCTACTGACGTCAGGGATATGGCTCTCTCTCTCTCTCTCTCTCTCTCTCTCTCTCTCTCTCTCTCTCTCTCGATATATGTATGAGGAGAAAGATAAGAGAAATAAAGAGGAAGAGAGAAGGAGCAAGAGCAAGAAAGAAGGGGGAAGAGGAAGAAAGAAGGAGGATGAGGAATAGGGAAGAGGAAAGAAGAGACGAAGATTGTGAAGGGAAGTTAGAAAAGAGAAGTGGAGAGGAAGAGAAAAGTAGAATGGAATAGAGAAGAAGAGAGATATAGAGACGAGGGAGAGAAAGATAGAAAAGTTAGTGTTTGGGGAAAAGTGAAAAACCAGAGTGAGAGAACGTGAGAGAAAAAGAGGGTCGAGGAAGAGTGGAAGGAAAGGGGGGGAGGGGTACTGATGGTCGAGAGGTTGTTCCAATACTTTCCTTCATATGTAAGATAAATTATGTTTCTCGGGACAACTATTCTGCAAGAGACTGGTACACCCTCCACTGTTGTTTGTCATCTCTGTTTTGATTCAGTTAAACCTAAATCACCGGACAGAATAGCCAATACGCATTTATAATATAGTCTATGGATAATAACATTCATCTAACCCAAGTAAAATTAAGGAGACGTCATCTCTTCTTAGTAATTTGCCTCATTTACACATAATTGCAGGGTCTCAATTGTTTCTCTTACTTGGACAACACAACACACATAATGTATATCGTTTCTCACTCTTGATTTATTTTTTATTTTTTGTATTTATTTATGGTTATTATTATTATTATTATTATTATTAATATTATTATTATTATTATTTTATTTGTATTAATTTGTTATCAATTTTATTAATTGTTGTAATAATAATAATAATAATAATAATAATAATAATAATAATAGATATTATTATTATTATTATTATTATTATTATTATTATTATATTTTCCCCCCTCAGGCCCAGATGTGGGTCAGTGACCTGTGCCCGGGTGGGCTAATCCCCGTAAAAAAAATAAATAAATAAAATAAAAATAAATCCACACGAATCCCAACCTGTTACAAGAAGGTATACAAAAAATGGGTATTTTATCTGGTAACTTCATCTGTAACTCAACTCAATAAAATCTTAAAAAAAAAATACCCAGTAAGAACGATATAAATCCATATACGACGAATCCTCTTCCATGAACGTAAACACAGTGAGATACTCACCTTGTATCGAAGTATCTGAACCTCGGACTCGGAGATGGAAAAAAAAAATTAAAATAAAAAATAAAATAAAAACCTGCAAGACCAACATAAATCCATACGAATCCAATCCCTCTTCCACGAAAGTAAACACAGTGGGATACTCACCTTGTAGCTGGTGTATCTGGGCCTGGAACTCAGCGAGGCGTTCGTCGACAAAGTCCTGACTCTGACGCTCAATGAGTTCCTGGGAGGAGGGCGCGTACTCTCCGTCAGGCCCTGGGAAGCCGAACATGGAGAGCGGCGTGCCTGATGCCTAGAGCCCACACACACACACACACGAGAGGCGTAGGCAGGGAGGAGAAGGAGAGAGAGAAGAATAAATTAATAATACGATAAACTAAAAATAATGCAAATACGTGATAAATACTTGCATAAATCTAGTTAATCTTAATACAATATGGAAAATCGTCAGCTATTAAGGTTGACTGAAAAGATGAGTCTGTACCCCTAAACGCTAAGTAAATAATAATAATAATAATAATTCACATATCTTGACAGAAAACCATCACCATATTTTTCTCGTCAGGACAAACTATAAACAACTAAAACATAACAACAACAATAAAACTAAAATAACAAACATAATAAAATAACACTATAAAATACCAAACACATAATTTTACTTGACAACTTTCACTCTCACTTTTAGTTCAGTTCACCATCAAAATGTAAACACAGTCTGCGGTCACTACCCACCGCCGTTCAGTTACTCGCAACATAATGAGACATGTTAGTGAGATACCACGACCGTGAGTACGAACCTATATTATTATTATTATTATTATTATTATTATTATTATTATTATTATTATTATCATTATTACTGTAATTATCATTATTATTATTCTTATCATTATTAATAGTATGAATAATATTACATACACACATAAAAGGTACATAACACACACACACAGGTAAGTGAACCTACCCCAAGGCACCTTAGGCAGGTACAAATTCCTCTCCTGCGAGGCATGTCAACAGTAGTATCCTGACCACGCGACAGGCCACACACTACTCCCCCTCACCTACCCTTACCTCTCACCTACACTCCCTCACCCAGCGTCCTCAGGGCGTTATCTCTCATTATCTCTCAATTACGCCTTTATCTTAATCCTATCCTCATTATCTCACATTTTATCTCTCAATTACGCTTTTATCTCAACGTTTTCCTCATTATCTCTCAATTATAGATCTTTCTTCACGGAGGTTTGAGACATTTTGCTGTTGTCTGTCTTGATTTTAAGTAGCCAGACAGACAGATAGACAGAGAGACAGGTAGGTAGACGACTATACCTGCATCACCTACTTCCCTCCGCCCTCTTCCTCCCCTGTCCGCCACCACGCCCTGAGCAGACACACTACACTGAACGAGGGGCACCCACTATGCACCAAGCCTCACTGGAAACTGGGCTACCCTCACTCCATACACCCCGTCCCTCTCTCTCCCCCTCCCCTCACTCGTTCCCCCTTACTCCCTATACCCAGCTCCCCCCCTCCCTCTCTCTCTCTCTCTCTCTCTCTCTCTCTCTCTCCTCTCTCCCCTCACCCTATACTCCCCTCTCTCTCCTCCCTCACTATTCTCCCCCTCATCACACCAAGGGGAAAGAGCTACCTGAGGGGAACTGTATCCCCTCTTGTCAGTGTGTGGTTTATGTCTCCTGTAAGTAAACAATAGTGTGTGTGTGTGTGTGTGTGTGAGGAAGGAGGAGTAGAAGAGGAAAAGGAGGAGTGGAAGAGGAAGGAGTAGGAGTATAAGAGGAAAAGGAGGAGTATAAGAGGAAGAGGAGAAGAGAAGGAGGAGGATGAGGAGAAAGGTGTCGTCCCAGTCTGGCTCTCTCACATGTTTCCTCTCTCTTTCTCTCTCTCTCCACCTGCCTCCAGAACTCTCCCTCCCCTCCCACCTGTCGCCCTTCTACCCTCCCACCTGTCGCCCTTCTACCCTCCCACCTGCCTCTCCCATACACACATCTCCCAAAATACCACAGGTGCAACATTACCGTCCCTTTCCTCTCTTTCTCTCTCAAGTTTTATCTCAATCTGTCTGTCTGCCTGAAGTTTTATCTCTGTCTCTCTCTCTCTCTCTCTCTCTCTCTCTCTCTCTCTCTCCTCAATTTCTCTTTGTTTCTCTGTCTGTCTGGATCTATCTCGTTCAATCAATCTTTCTCAAGTTCTCTCTCCATTTCAATATATGTATGTATGTATGTATGTATGTAAATTTCTATCTATTTCAATCTCTCTCTGACACACACACACACTCACTCACTCACTCACTCACACTCTCTCTCTCTCTCTCTCTCTGGCTCTATATATTTCACTCTCTCTCTCTGGCTCTCTCTCTCTCTCTCTCTCTCTCTCTCTGGCTCTATATATTTCACTCTCTCTGGCTCTCTATATTTCACTCTCTCTGGCATATTTCACTCTCTCTCTCTGGCTCTATATATTTCTCTCTCTCTCTGGCTCTATATATTTCACTCCCTCTCTCTCTCTCTCTCTCTGGCTCTATATCTCTCTCGCTCTCTCTCTCTCTCTGTCACTCCTTACTTCCTGTTCCTGGTGTTGGGTCATAACACCTATCTAGAAGTGTTCTTCCTGGTGTGTGGGTTAGGTTAGGTTAGGTTAGGTTAGGTTAGGTTAGGATTTAAAGTGTCCTTAAAGTGTTTTAATCTGGAATTTAAAGCGTTGTAATGGAGTCTTAATCTGGTTTTAAATTGTCCTAACCCAACTTAATTAAATTTAACCTACACTAACCTAACCTGACCTAACCCCCTTTAACCTAATCTAACCTAACCTAACTACACTTCGTTTTAATCTATTGTGTCTTCCAAGGTAACTGTTTACAATTATCATCACACACACACACACACACACACACACACACACACACACACACACACACACACACACACACACACACACACACACACACACACACACACACACACACATACACACACACGGGGGAGGGCAGGAAGTATCTGTAATAAGACAACCTTGGCACAAAGGTCTCCCAATCTTGTTACGTAACTTCCCGCCAAAATCAGCTTGGCGCCAAAACACCCTCGCTTCTCATCCATCCGCGACTTGCCTCCCACTCCCTCTCCCACCCCCCCCTCCTTCCATCATAGTGCAATCAAGCTTTCAGAAATAGTCACTCAGCCAACATCATCGCCACGGAAATAGTCGCAGCCGGAGATATTTCTGGACGAGACGAGAAGAAGAGAAGGTCGAGATGCGAATAGATATAAAGAGACCGCGGGGTGTATAAATAATATAATAATAGTAACTGATGTATTAATTACTACGTTTACTTACGATTATTTAATTCTCCTTCTAAATTAACTTACTATAGTGTCTTCTTAACTTTTAATGCCGAAAGGAAACTTATACGGTAATAATTTTAAGACGAAATTTTCAACGTATATTTTTTTCTTCAAATTTTATCCAACTCGATTTTTTTAAGGATTTTCTGGTTTTAATTGCAAAGTTAAGGGAATTATTTTATAACGTAAGATTCTACAAAATAACCTTAACTAGAGAACCAATGAGAACTTGTATAACTATCCCTAGAACCCACGAAACCTCTATAACTATCTCTAGAACCCACGAAACCTCTATAACTATCCCTAGAACCGACGAAACCCTCTATAACTATCTCTAGAACCCACGAAACCCTCTATAACTATCTCTAGAACCCACGAAACCTCTATAACTATCTCCAGAACCCACGAAACCTCTATAACTATCTCTAGAACCCACGAAACCTCTATAACTATCTCTAGAACCCACGAAACCTCTATAACTATCTCTAGAACCCACGAAACCTCTATAACCATCTCTAGAACCCACGAAACCTCTATAACTATCTCTAGAACCCACGAAACCCTCTATAACTATCTCTAGAACCCACGAAACCTCTATAACTATCTCTAGAACCCACGAAACCCTCTATAACTATCTCTAGAACCCATGAAACCTCCCCACCTACGTCTCCCCATAACCCCACTTCCTCCCCACCAGCATAACAGCGCCAAGGTTAGTCTCCCCACAACCTCCCCCACACCCTCTCTTTCTCTTCTTCCCCGTCTCTCTTTCTCTCTCCCACCCCCTTTTTCTCTTCGTCTCTCCCTCTCTTTTTTCTCTCACCCGTCTTACCTGTATCTCTCTCTCATCTTCCCATCTCTCTCTCTCTCACCTGTCTACAAAATTCACCTCCTTAATCATCCACCAAAGAGTATTATTCTTTCTCACCTTTCTCACTCCAACAACATATGAAGTCTCACCATCATCTTCCTCATCAAAAACTCATCCGTATCTCTCAAGGACTCTCTTTTTTTCTCAAGCTTATTTACCTGCCCACGTAAATCCTAATTATATGTCTTACCTGCGTGTTTTCACCTGGCCCGGGTAGGTGAGTTTTAAGTTAATTTGTGTTTAAGTTTTGTAGTTTTTTTTTTATTATTATGGGTCAGGTTTAGGGTGTGTGGGATGGTAGACTGAAAAGGACTATAAGATTTGGTAGTAGTAGTAGTGGTGGTAGTGGTAGTGGTAGTAGTAGTAGTAGTAGTAGTAGTAGTAGTAGTAGTAGTAGTAGTAGTAGTAGTAGTAGTAGTAGTAGTAGTAGTAGTAGTAGTAGTAGCAGTAACTGAAATATATACGTAACCCATTTTCAGTACAATTTTGATCCCATGAGTACAATAATTTAAACCCTTGAATACCTAACCTAATCTAACCTAACCTAACCTAACCTAACCTAACCTAACCTAACCTAACCTAACCTAACCTACACTACCTGCCCAGAGTATCAAGCAACCTTCCACTCCATCCATACTCCACCAACTACACCCACACCCTTCCACCCACAATCACACCCCTCCACCGACACCCACTTCTCTCCACCCACACACCCCATGAAAGAACATTAGCTCCACGCCCCTGATGGCCCCACACGCCCACCACACGCTCTTGTTTTCATCCCGCCCGTGAGTGGGATTCTTGCCTTCAGCTTTTCTAATGTTTTATCAGTGGTGTGTGTGTGTGTGGGAGGCAAAAGGTGGAGGGGAAGGGTGTTGTGGTGCGGGTGTGGAGGTGTTGTGGTGGGATGGGAGGGGTGTTAGTGTGTGTGTGGTAGTGGTGTGTGGTGGTGGTGGGGTGTGTGGTGTGTGTGGGTGTGTGTGATGGTAGTAGTGTATGTGTGGTGTGTGTGTGGTAGTGGTGTGTGTGTGGTAATAGTGG